ACACTCCCTCACATCATACACAAAAATAAATTTAAAAATGGTTTAAAGACTTAATAAGACATGACACCATAAAACTCCTAGAAGAGATCATAGGCAAACCATACTCTGACATAAATCATACCAGTGTTTTCTTAGGTCAGTCTCTCAAGGAAATAGAAATAAAAAAATAAATAAACAAATGGGACCTAATCAAGGGCTCACAGGTGGTTAGTGTCTGAATCAGAACTCAACCCTGTGTCTGGTTCCGAAGTCTGGCTTCCTCCCCCTCCAGTGTGACACCTGTATTCATAGGAATAGATCTTGTCTCTAAAGCTGTATCTCTGGTCCCATCCATGCTCCACAGGCAAGAGTGTCTCCTGAGCTGGTCGCAGGCAAAACTGAGGAAGTGCCACAAAGTTTATCTTTGACAACAGCCAACTCCATTGCAAGTTTTCTTTTTGCCTCCCCTGCAAACTCTCAGCAAGGTGGTGGTTTCATCAGTTCCTGGCTGGCCTTCCCAGTAGCCTCAATGGTACGTTCCTCTGAGTCTATCTTCTTCTCAGTACCTCATACTCTTGATTTCACCCACCACAGTCTCCTTTATTCAAAGCTCACCTACCAATTCTATGTCATGTAATAATGATTAGCGAAACCTTGTATGGTCAAATTAATTACTGACTTGAAGTCACTTCATTAACTAGTTACCTCTGTACGGTCTCAAGGTTTTAATGCAATAAAGTACTCATGAATTACTTGCTTAATTAAAATACATCTTAAAGAAAAAAAGAACAAGGATTATGAGGGTGTGAATTTTGGTGCTATTTTCTGTCAAGTGGGTCTTTCACTGTCCCTCAAATCACACCACATAGGCAGCCATCTACTTTGCTTGGCTTTGCTGGCTTGATCACCTCTGAATCATTAATAGCACAGGACACATTTTTTTATACTTCAGAAAACTGGAGAGAGGAGGGGAGTTGGGAGGGGGGAGTCCATCTTCTTACTAGGAAACCCCAATACCTGATAACTGATCTAGTTACAAAAATCACAGTTCTGTCTAACTTAACCAGCTGTATGTCCTAGTATTGATATTAAGTCTTCTCCTTAAAGCACAAAACACTTCTCATTTTCCGTTTTTCAGCACAGAGGGATTGAGTACACTGTTGTTACCAAGAGCAAAACCCAGAGTCCAATTTGAAGACCCCGATTTTCACAACATTTTCAAACCCTCTAATCAAGGCTTCTTTCTCTTATCCATATTTTCTCCCTTGCCTCTCTGCTTTTTCTTTCTCTGTACAGTTTGTCTTAACACATGAAGAAAATACTTTTAAACGCAAAGAGAAAAATGGATGGTAATCTACTACAAATGACCTCTTAAAACTGAGACCATTCAGTCTGCTTCTTTGAACATACAAAATTGTTTCTCTCTTCTGAAATACTCCACAGCACAGAGATGAGTGTATTCAGATATAATTTCATGTGATTACCCCATAAGAAGAGCTCGTATCCACAACTCTCTATCAGGTCTTGTTAAGCACATAAGTGAACTGCCTTCAAGTAGACCCTGTCCATCAAATCTTTATTTTTCTTTCATGAAGAGTCTACCTTGCAGGCAAACTCTGGTAATGTTGCCTCCCTATTAAAATAGCAAGAAAGGAAAGTTTGAAGTTGGGAGAGATCTGGAAGAATCTTTTTTTTTTTTAATAAATTTATTTATTTTATTTATTTATTTTTGGCTGCATTGGGTCTTTGTTGCTGCGCGCGGGCTTTCTCTAGTTGTGGCGAGCAGGGGCTACTCTTCATTGTGGTGCGTGGGCTTCTCATTGCGGCAGCTTCTCTTGTTGCGGAGCACGGGCCCTAGGTACGTGGGCCTCAGTAGTTGTGGCACATGGGCTCAGTAGTTGTGGCTCACGGGCTCTAGAGCGCAGGCTCAGTAGTTGCAGCGCACGGGCCCAGCTGCTCTGTGGCATGTGGGATCTTCCCAGACCAGGGCTCGAACCCGTATCCCCTGCATTGGCAGGCGGATTCTTAACCACTGTGCCACCAGGGAAGCCCTGGAAGAATCTTTGTCACAAAAATCTGTCCTATGTCAAATATATTTCCTGAGGAAAAAAAAACTACAAAGCAGGATCCAGGCTCCTTGCATCCTATGGCTCTGTCTCCTTGTATGAACTTGGAATCCTCTGTTAGAACCTCAGTATCTTACCAATACATGGGGGAAGAGAAAGAAAGTACAGAGGATCACATGAGGGTTGGGCATCATTTCTACCCACATTCCTTCAGTCAAAATTCAGTCACAGAACCAAACCTAACTGTAAGGGAGGTTGGAAAATGTAGTCTAGCTGCATACTTAGGAGGTAGAAGTATAACTTGTGGTGAACAAAATGCATTTCTACCTTATTCTCTTAACTGAAAGCAGCAGTGCCAGGAAGAGTTGAAGACATGATGATTTAGATACTGGGAGAAAGTCCAATATCATAGGCCGACCAATGTATTCCACACATAATAGGCTGGAAGACAGTGGCAGAAGAGGCAGGCTTAGAGGAGATAGAAAAGTGTCCAGAGGACGGGATGGGCACAGTGACATAAAACCTATGAGCAAACATACTCAGAATTTCAGACATGGAAGCAGCAGGAATTTGGGAATTCAGTGATCAGTAGTAGAGAGAAGTCACTCATTTAGTATTTAGAAAATGTGGGGTTTGGAGGGGAGGATAAGATTAGGGTCAGATAAGAGCTAGGATGAAATAACCAAGAGCTAGGAATATTATAGAGATGGGGCCGGGGCACAAGGGTAGACAGTCAAGGCAGATCATTTGTGAAGTGACTCCTTCGTAACCAGCATGGTGGACAAGAGCTGTTCAAATTCCTCCTGTCCGAGGTCAGCATTGGTCCTGGAGCAGTTCAGAGACTACAGATAGGGTCAGCTGGGAGGAGAGGCACGTGGGAACCTGCTAAGCCCTGCCATGATCTACCCTCAAATGTTACCAGTAACCTTACTCTGCTTCTGGGTCCCAGAAAACAACCCTAACTAACCCTATCTTCCTCACAATGTCCTGGAATGAAACAGGACAATTGAATCAGTACAAACCCTTCAGAGCATAAAGCAAATGCCCCTCTCAGAGTAGGGAGGACCTGGGACAGCATATTTGCTTACAAGTGAGAAATAATAATAAAAGTGACAGCTGACATATACAAGACACAGTTCTGGGGCTTTAAATACATATGAACATTTAATTTTGCCAAAAATCTTTATTACTCCAATTTTACAGATTACAAACTGAGCAATACAGACTTATGACTTGCTCAAGTAAGTGGCAGAGCTGGGATTCAAAGAGGTCTGGCTACAGAATCGATCACCTTAGTTACTATGCATACTGACTTTTTTAGAAAGTCAAATTTGGCCGAAATTTTTTTGTTTTTTGCGGTACGCGGGCCTCTCACTGTTGTGGCCTCTCTCGTTGCGGAGCACAGGCTCCGGACGCGCAGGCTCAGCGGCCATGGCTCACGGGCCCAGCTACTCCGTGGCATGTGGGATCTTCCCGGACCGGGGCACAAACCCGTGTCCCCTGCATTGGCAGGCGGACTCTCAACCACTGCGCCACCAGGGAAGCCCTGGCCAAAATTTCATATCACATTTTGCTTGCTTAAAGGAGGTGTCAGCAAAGATACTTTCTTGCACTTCCCTCCAGAGATCTCATCTACCATTTTGTTTCCAGAAAGCTGTCCTATCCTTTTGGAATGAAGACTGAGTCATGGATCTCCAAAGAATAAGTCACAGACAGTTCACTTCCTCTCAAAGAACATACACAAATATGCAATAACAAGCTCTGAAGTCTCGTATGTCACAAATAAATGACTGCAGAATAAGAAGAAACCTTAGGGACCAGAGTCCCACCCATTTTAGGGCAGAGAGGCTAAGTAGCTTGCAAAATGTCCCTTAGGAACAAAAGCAAGTTGTCCTAACTTCCATGGTAAAAATACTTGCCTCCTGACTTAAGACCACTTATTTTCTCTACTCAGCATGAGGGGATCATAAGGGTTAAGAACCAGAAACTTCAGATTGTGATATGTGACTGCATTAATTCTTTGGTTGCTAGAAAGACTATGAAAAAGATAAAAGGGTTCAACTACACAGAATTTATTTTCTATGAAATAAGAAATCCAGCATCTTATGTAACTAGTCAGGAATTATACAGCCATATGTTCAGACATTTATTCATTCATCCCAGCGTTTATCCCAGCATTTATCCATCTATCCATTCAGGCATTTATTCATTCATTTGCTAAAGTATCCACTCATTCCAAAATACCTACTGAGACAAAATTTGTCTCAATCCTGGGTATTTTTAGCACTTTCAGTCAACTATTTTTCTTTCTGCTTGGTTTTCAGATTTTGTTAACAAGCCCAGTGTATGGGATTCCAGTATATTCCATTATAAAATTATCTTAAATATGTTTGGGGAATCAGAATCAAGCCATTAATTATGGAACAGTTCGCAGCTTCCATCCATTAATTCAAAGTAAAGAGGACTATTCACTTAGGAGTATTTCCTTTGTTCCTCAGGGCCTCATTTTTGACCCCAAGGTGTCTTTTACAGACCACATGCTTGGTCTCAAGCCAAACGTGGACAAGGTTCAGTCAACAGTAAACTGCCTTCAGTACCAAAAAAGTACTCAGGTTTCTGCAAATTGTGTCTATGAGAGTTTAAGGCCTTTGTTGTCCCTGTTGAAAAGTACACTCTTTACTGTGACAAAGACATGTATTCTCAGTTTTCTTGGAGGACAGTGGAAGAGGGATCCCCATATCCTGCTTCCCTATCACCACCAACTGGTTAGTGTTGTTTGTTCAAACACTGCAATTTTACCTTCTGCCCTAAATAATCCTACTTAACGACCCAGGGTTCTTGGAGCTCTAAGAAGTCTAAAATGATTTAGTTCAGCATTTGATGCTGTACCACCTGAGAACATTATTTTCTGATGGTAATAAGGGAAGGAACTACGCAGGAAAACAAAGCAGGATGTTGAGGTGCCAACATTCTGAATATGTTTATTCATGTTTGGATTTACGGATGCAAAGTGTTTTACATGCTACAAATGTTTGTTAAAAAAAAGTTGTTACAAATCAATAAATAATACTAGCTACAAGTATTCTCTACTGTAAACAGAATAATAAGCAGAAAATAAATAAATGCAACTACTTTGGTACACACGGACATGCGTTTTCTGTCATAAAACTGATAAGAGCACTAACATTTTTAGTTCTTTGTAGTATTTTCCCTTGAGATCCAAGTTTTCATTGCACTCGTCTTACCAGTTCAGGTTGGTAGCATATCAAAGAATTACTGGAAACTGGTTTTCTACTGGGGTCGGGGGGAGGGCTTATTTTCTGCCACGTGGTCATTTATATCTTACAAATGAAAAAGAAGCAAGGTACAAAAATTAGTGTGTGTGATATGTGCTCAAGGTTGGGAATACTGATTTGTATGAAAGGTTCTTAACTAGCTGCTCATCAAAATCATATATAACGGCCATTAAAAACTCCCTTAGCTAGCAGCATGGAAATCATTGGCTTGGTTCTTCAAAGAGTAGACAAACAGAATTCCTGGATACTGTTTCCATTCGGGTTTTCCAGTTCGTATGGTTCCAGCTGGCGGTATTCAAAAGTCACACGATTTACATGTTTTCCACTGGAGACCATGCGCAACACCGTGTTGTCACAGCCAATTTTCATCTGGGCTATAATTCACGGAAAAAGTAAAAGTTTCCCAGCAGGTTAGAAAGGACACAGTCAAACCATTTCTGTCCATGAGATCATTTAAACACGAAGAAAGCAAGGGGATGTAGCTTCCTCTCACGTACTCAAACCAAGCATCTGCCATCAGGTGAAACGTGTTTGTTCTCATTCTTATAATGTACAGCTGACCTTGAACGACGTGGGGGGTGCGTGGGGCGTTAGGGGTGAGGACCCTCCCCACAGGCGAAAATCTGCCTATAATTTATAGTCTTCCCTCCAGAGCCACGGTTCCTCCAGATCCGAGGTTCCACATTCTCGGGTTCAACCAACCTAGGATCGTGTAGTACTGTAGTATCTACTATTGAAAAAACTCCGCCTATAAGTGGGCCCCCGCAGTTCAAACCACTGTTGTTCAAGGGTCAACTGTATAATTAATTGTAGAATAGTGAAATTAAGCTCAGCCTTTCTCCTCATGTGCAAGAACACTGTTAGTCAAACAAAACTGGCTGCAAAGAGGTAAGAAGATATCTCCTTGTGCTTTTTATGTTCTCTTACCTGCAGAGTTTTGGTGGTGAAGGCAAGCATCCGACCTGCTGCACCTTTGCTCTAGTTGTGTCCTCAGGGGGGGCAGTGCCGCCCTCTAGGGACAGGTTGGGAATTTGCAGAGGCAGGTTTTGGTTATATCTGGGGGTGCGAGTGGCATTTAGTGGGCAGGGCTGAAGGATGGAGTGTATTGCGGGACATTTATGTAGACTAAAAATATCACCTATTTATTATTTTCTGAGCCTCAGTAATAATTCTGTTTTACATATAAACAGAAATATCATTTGCGTGGTTTAGACATACACTAAGTATACTCATTTTTGTTCTATTGTTCACCTGTACTTTTCATCTCTAATTTTTTTCTGTACTTCTTATATGGAATGGCTTTTGATATCCTTACTTTTCTTAAATCCAATCTTATTCATTATTTTTATAAGCATCTGGAAACAGTTATGTATCTTCTAGTACAGATGTGCCTGAGCAGTTATATACTGAAACTGTGTGTGTGTTTAAGGCATTCTTCAAAAATTTTTTTTCAGGTTTATTGAGGTATAGTTGACAGAAATTGTATATATTTAAGGTGTACAACATGATGGTTTTATATAAATATACATTGTGAAATGATCACCATAATCAAGCTAATCAACATTCATTACCTCACAGTTACCTTTTTTTTTCTTTTCATTCCCCACTCCCCTCCCTTCTAGCAACCATCTGTTTGTTCTCTGTACCTGTTTTGTGAAACTCAGCATTTTTATTAAAAATTACTTTTGTTTTATTTCTTCCGCCTCAATCTGGTTCCTGAGGCAAGATTTATCTGCCCTACAATAATCCTTTCTGCTGCTTTAATTTTCTCAATCTTTTTTTCCCCACGTTGTCTCTATAAGGCCTAAATTCTGAGAAATGTTATTAACCTTGTGTAACAGGTCCTTCACAAACATGCACCTGGGTTTAAATGAAGTAAAACAGCCAGATAGTTATTTAGGTAAAAGTCAATTTGGAGACATAATAAATATAAACCCTATAATTATTTTAATATAAGCACCAGGGAGTCTAGGCTAAGCTTCTGTGAGGAAGTCCAAAGTTACTTTTTTAAAGTTTTTAAAATAAATTCATTTATTTTTTATTTATTTTTGGCTGTGTTGGGTCTTCCTTGCAGTGCACGGGCTCCTCACTGTGGTGGCTTCTCTTGTTGTGGAGCACAGCTCCAGGCATGCAGGCTTCAGTAGTTGTGGCACGTGGGCTCAGAAGTTGTGGCTCGCTGGCTCTAGAGCGCAGGCTCAGTAGTTGTGGTGGACAGGCTTAGTTGCTCTGCAGCATGTGGGATCTTCCCGGACCAGGGCTCGAACCCGTGTCCCCTGCATTGGCAGGTGGATTCTTAACCACTGTGCCACCAGGGAAGTCCCTAATTTTCTTTAAATTGTTTGCAAGGCCATTCTTTTCTGATCTTACTCTGAACTTCAAGCTACATAACGTGACTTATTTCCTTTAGTTAATGCGCATATCATTTATCATTTGACATAATTCCTAATACAATCCATTGTAAAGGGCAGGATACCTAAGAGTTCTTCATTGTCTGAACGACTTAAGAGGGGCTCATGAAAACATGGTGAATTCAAGAAAAAAGTGAAGTCTAACATGAACCAGTGAGTCAGATAATTCAAGCCTTCACATTACCTTAAGACTGGTTTCAATTATCTAAATAATACAGGCAAAAGTGGTTTTTTGGCCTCAGCCACACCCTTTGAAATCAAGTCATATAATTCATGCACCAAAATTACTATGGCTTCAATTATCTAAATTTTAAGGCATGAGTGTGCTTCAGTTCTTAATCTAATCTTTTTACCCAGCTCAAACGCAGCTCCTCACAGGTGCTCTCCATCAGCCTGGAAGGCTCCAGTGCCTCTGAGAGCACACACAAAGGGAGAGAAGCCATGATGCACTGGTTTAAACCAGGGCTCAAGTGTAAATTAGTATAAACTAACCCTCAAGCTTTTAGCAAAGTGGGTTTTTAGAAATCTTTTCCCTTGACCTGTGTACATTAATTCTATTTCAGAGAGATTTTGTTTAAGTTCCCAGCATTAGCTCAGAGAGAGAAAATACTGGTTGGCAGACCTGGCTTTAATTAAAACTGGTAACAGCTGATCAAAAGGCTGTCTGATTTGCAGCTTCGTTATTTAGTTGGTTAGTGATGTGTGCTTAAAAAGAGGAAGGGGGCTATGGTAAGGGATGAAAGACTGTTTTTCTGTTTGACTTCTGTCTCTTAAAAGATAATCACTGGTTCCTGCATCAGAAGTGCAGATACAGGAGTGACCTTTACAGAAATGTTTTAGGTAACCCTCTCCCCCAACACTTGGATTTCGTTAATTAATTTGGTCACTAGTCAGCAATTCCCACCCTCCTCACCCCACCCGAGCATAATCAAATGGAAAAGCTTCACTGATCTTTAACAAAGAAGACCTGATTCTGTTTGGCGAGAACCAGGTCTTTTATTACCCGTGACCACTTTTAGATCTCAGAATTTACCTCTGTTTTGCAGTGGTCTTTCAGAGGCTGGTGTTGCTGCTAGAAGTTGGGGACGTTCAGCAGTTCTGAGAATTTCTAATAAAGCATATCACCTTCTAATGTATCAATATTTACTATGAGTAATACACACACATATGCATATGTATGGTAAAGTTATTTAGATATTACTTCATTTTTATACTATTACTAATTGACGATACATCCACTACTTGAACAACGGTCTTCAGTCAGTAAAATCTTTAGTCTCGAGAGAAGGAAAGCAGGGACCTTCAAGAAGGTGGACAGAGCACAGAACCAAAAAGCTTTGTCTTTTTCATAGTCGTACTTAGGGCAAACCTTAAACACGCAACCTTGTTACTTCATAAGTTTTTCTCCCAGTGTCAGATATTGTGGTCATGCATTCTTGATACTGTGCCTAGGCTCAAATGCAAAACCCTCACAGTTGCTCAATGTGCAAAATCGAAGTTTTTTTGGTGGAACTTGCCCTCCCATGTATAAAAAATTTGAGGCATTTTATTTAAGGAAACAATCTTAATAGGCACATAAATAATAATCAAAGAAATATCTTACCAGGGCCGTGAAAAGGATAGCAGAGATCAGCTAAAGGCATCATCTTGGAAGGGTCGAGTCCAGTTCCTCCCAGCAGCTCCACAAAATCTCCTATTCCCACACAACCTGCTGAGGACTTCTAAGAGAATAAAGCAGCAGAGGAAGATGTAGTTAAACCAATTAAGGAAGTCAAACCATTGGACCAATGGCAAGTTGGTGAATTCAGTCAGCTGTAGACATCCTGGCAGCGCCATTTAATTTAACATCCAGGACTCTGGGAAGTAAGACTTTTTAAAGAAAAAAAAAATCATAGGAATTGCTTTTCTAAATCGGTTGAGTAATCATTTTAAAAAATGTATGTGCATTTAAAAAACATTTTTTTATAAGCTCAAGGACTAGAATGATGAAACTGGAATCTGTAAACTCTATATACAATATATGAAAATTGAATCTGAAAATGCTTTGCTTTTTAAATCATTTGGACTTACACAATGAATTATTTGAATTTCTTCATGCATGCAGTCAGAGTTTTTTTTTTTTTTTGCGGAACGCGGGCCTCTCACTGCTGCGGCCTCTCCCGCTGCGGAGCACAGGCTCCGGACGCACAGGCTCAGCGGCCATGGCTCACGGGCCCAGCCGAGAGGCACGTGGGATCCTCCCGGACCGGGGCGCAAACCCGCATCCCCTGCATCGGCAGGCGGACTCTCAACCACTGCGCCACCAGGGAAGCCCTTTCCTCTTCTTTCTAAAAGACTTTTTCCGCTATTGAGACAATTCTTATCCTTTCTACTGATAAGGATTTAGACTAGTTATAAGAATATTAAAAAAAGAAGAGACCCCTCATTTGGGGCTCAAATTAGCTAGAGTTACCATCAACTTTCTCCTTCCAACTAAAATAAACTTATTTCAAGCTACTCAAAATAAGTGTGTAGTCTTAAGACTTTGTGTGATGCCCTGTAACCACCTTTTTCTGCTTCCCTTCATCTTTTCCACACTGTGTCATCCACAGCAATTCCTGGGCTTCACTTTCCCACGCAAACAAAGCAGGCCCCCTCTCAGCCCCAAATGTCACCGTTTGGGCCACCCGTTTCCCGCGATCAGGGCTGGCCTTGTGATCGTGCCACCCGTGCCCACAGGGCTCACGCTTACAAGGCCTAGTGCTCGGCTTAATGCTCTGCTGTCACCATTTTGAAATTCCTAATCATTTTAAAATAAGGCCCCTGTATTTTCATTTTTTACTGTCCCCCCACAAATTATACAGCCAGTTTTCCCTGTGATCCTCTTCTTCATGAGACATCGCTATCAAGAGATCTAGCGGAATGTGGCAAGGTGCTTAGACGCTAAACAGACCATGCTCCATAGGGACCAAAATCTAAAACAGAGAATGTAAAACACACACATACATCAGCGCACACAGTCCCACATTTGGAAGATATTGAAATGCAGCTGGAACTAAACAACCAATAGAAAATCATACAACAGCAACTCTTTGACTAATGAAAGGAAGCAGGTGTGGGTATATATATTTAAAGCACCTACTCTGTCCTGGGTTCTATGCTTAGGTATTTTACACGTAATTTCATCAATGATGAAATAGAGGGTTAGTTAGCCCCACTGTGTACAGGGCTCATTTTCTTGTAGGAAGAGTTGAATAAGCCATTTAGAGGTAAAGGGAAAAAAATGTAATTGCCTTTCCCTTGAGTAGAGAGTGTCCAGGGGGAACATGTCTTAGACTAAACATTCCACCTGGTTCTGTAGGTTCCAAATTTCACAGGAGGAGGTGAAGGGGGAAAGGCAGGCTCAGGAGAGAGAAATGGGAAATGAGAAGTTGGGAAGAAATGGAAGCTAAAATGAAGGGAACAAAACCAAGAAACAAGGAGGTTGGGAGCACGTACTTTTTGGCGTTCAGTGACTTTCCTCTCCTCTTTCCAAACCTCTCAGCTGTTCTTATAAACAACGGCAGAAGCTGAGCTGTGTAGGGACCTCTGGGGTTCAGCTCCTCAACAGTAACCCCCGAGATTTCTTTGTTGAGGTTCTATCTCCCTGGACCAAGTCACTCTCATCTCTTGCCTAGACTATGACAATGGCCTTTTAGGGGCACTGCTGCACCACTCTGGCCCCTACAGCCCATTCATCATCATTCATGGAAGCCAGAATGACCTTTAGGTAACCGTCTCCTTCCCATCGTGGACTTTGTCAATTACTTTGGTCATGAGGCCAGCAATTCCCAATCACTCTCACCCCACCTGAGCATAATCAAATGGATTATGTCACTTTCCTGCCTGAACCCCTTCGGTGGTTTCCCACTGAAAATAAACTCAAACTCTGTAATATTACCCGCTGGACTCTCCACCCCCTGGCCCTGCCTGTCTGCCTGATGCTGTATGATACCACTCCCCCTCTACTTTTCCTTCTTTCCATTTCTAGAACTCAGCAAGCCCATTCCTGCCTCTGAGCCTCTGCACTACTGTTGCTCTGTTCCCAGCTCTTCCTGTGGCTGCTGGCTCCTTCTTACCTATCACTGAAATCTCACTTTAAATGTCTCCTTCTCAAAAGATTTCTTTCTTGACCATCTCATCTCAAGTAGCTGCCTGCCCCTCACTCTACCCCCTTGTCCCCAGCCACCACTCTGCTTCATTTTCTGTAGGGCACTCACCACTATTTGAAATACATTATACTTTTGCCTGTCTCATCCCACTAGAATACAGGTTCTATGTGAGTAGGACCTGTTTTGTTCGTTGCTAATTTCCTGCATCTAGAAGAATGCCTTGCACATGGTAAGCACTCAAAGAATATTTCGTAAAGCAATAGATACCTAGAACACTGCAGACTTCACATTTTTTTAAGTGGTAAGCACAAAGTATACTCCTCGTAGCCAAAGATAACTAAAGTGCAGATCTCTCAATCTATCACACTTGCCACCTTCTATATTAAACATCAAGAATGACATACAAAAAATCTCAAGCCTATAGGGCTAAACCAAAGACATCCACTTATCCTGGCCTTTATCAAAGGATTATTCTTCCACTAAGGTTCAACTTTAAAAAATAGGCACTGGCCTATGAAGTTAGGGCTTAAATGAAATTGGATTTACTGCTTTTCTCAGCCCTAATCCTATTTATTTGGTTTTCACTGCAATCTTTCTGATTAGGAAGTATGACTATCTTGGATGCCAGCAAATGCATGAGCTGTCTTAACCTAGGCATATGAGAACATAAAAGGAAATGAGGATGACTCAAAGGAAACAAGCTACCAGTGCAAATAAATGTGGTCAAGCTCAGCATTAATCGTAAAATCCATACAGAAGTTCATGGGGAAAGAAGTTGATGGGGAGTCTCAACTAATGTTTTGTTGCAAAATGTATGGAATTAAATGTAATGCGAGAAAACACTTCAAAACTTTACTGTATTTTGCAATATAAAAATCCAGTTTTGTATTTTATGCTATGCTTAGCATTCCTGCATAACACAGTCTGTCAATGAGATACTTCCTTCATGTCAAAAGAAAATTCCAATAATCAGAAAAACAGCTGTGGAGATGACTCACACTAGGTTCTGCTAGGAGATAATTTTTGTAAAAGAGGCAAGTACAAGAGAGTTCAATTGTAATTATATGTCACAACTCTGCCAACTGAAAGCATTTCTAACATCACAAGAAAAGTATTCAAGTAGTCAGAAGAGGCACCTGAGTATGCAACTGGCAGTATAACGGAAATAGAAGAGGAGTTTATTAAAGCAGCGGGGGCAGGCTCGTGTGAGTTCTAACTGCCAAACAGAAGGACATACTACACCAGTTCATCCACATCTGCCCTGTATAGTTACTTTGGCTCTGAGAAAGCTGAGGTCTTAGGAAGTGACTGAGAAGCAAGTAAGCAACTCACCTTTAATTGCAGACCATTTAAGTGTCCCAGGGTGAGATCAGATATTTTGATCACCACAGGATAAATGATGGAGAAGCTGCAGTTGCGATGCTTATGTGGCACGACCAGAGTAAACCTTCCATTTGGGGTCTGGGAGATGACATTGCAGGCTTTGTAGAAAAACAAAATCACATTTTCACTGCTTGGTATGCTGGGCTTTTATAGAAATTTATCTCATCCTTATTCTAAGCTCCTATTCATGGTCTAGGGGCTTGTGGCCCAGAAGAGAGTACTTATCACAAAGGTGATTTGGAGAAAGGAAGGAGTTGGGGAATAAAAAGCACCACTGACGTATGGACATTATCAGGAGGCCCTGGCTGCAAGGGGACTTCTGATCGTAATCTCAGGGGGTCACCTTGTTTATAACACTCACAAGACATAAATTAATAACCAACCAAACAATACTAGCTGGTAGAAGTTCTAGGAACACTTCATTAACTAGGGTCCAAGTTCAAGCTGGGAGTCTGGAAGAATCAAGGCTTAAAGGTAAGGCCAGAACTCAAACCCTGTCTGTCTGAAACCTTTATTAACTGAACTTGGAGCTACATGTTACTTTTGAGATAATAAAGTGAAGAAACATTAAACTAGTTGCAAAGTAGGCTGAGAAAAATACAAAGCAGGCTTATGTCTGATAAATATTTCCTGGGTGTTAAGTGATAAGTTGACTAATACGTAAATTTTAAATGTTTATCTACTCCCAAGTCTTTCTGAAATTTTGTTTTGTATCTCAAGACTAGACTTACAATAAATTTATTCTTCTAGCTATGAAACTAGAAGCATCAGAGTTTGTACTTTTTTTGGCCAGTTATGGGACAAAAGTTTCTGATTGATCAGACTATGTCAGAACTACCTTTTGCTTCCATCTTATATTTTTAATTACACTTAATTTCAAAAAGAACTGAAATTCCTTGATGATTCTAGAAGGTTTCTGATCTCTAAGCAAACAGGATATAGGAGAAACAGTTCATGTTGTCCTCTAGTGTTACTCTGCTCTAGTCCTCAGAAACAGCCATTTTGGGGGGCTTCTTTCAAAAAGCTTTTTTTTTGTTTTTTAAAAACAAAATTTGGGAGATCAGTCAGTACATTATTTTTTGGCAGATTAGGTAGGCCCCATTCTTCAGCCACATGAAGTGTTAATAATACTACTGTATACAACCAAAAATGAATGTTTTCCTGATTTTTTTATAAACATTTTCCTCTTAATGGGAAGAAATAATAAACAGATGAATGAACTCATTCTGATTAAGATAATGTGTTTTAGGCCTGGGCTATTCAGCTTTATAACATCTATTTGTGTATCCACCAGAAAGGAACTATATTAGAGCAATGGGTTCAGACTCAGAAGGCAATGTTGAGGTCCTCTGGTCCAACCCTCTGCTCAGGGCATGAAATCTGTCTACACATCCCAGATATGTAGTCTTTCAGCCTTCACCTAAATATCTGTAGGACTGCAATTTCATATCTGATCCCTCAAGCTTATCCAGATCAATGGAATGACTTGGAGGGATTAAAGTTTGTCACTGAATACATTGTAGTAGCTCAGGAGATCAGAATAAGACTGGAGAAAAAAATAGAATTCCAGCCATCATAAATTAGTATCTTACCTAGCCTGGTAAATAAATTAAAAACTGCTTTGATTTTCATGATAATGAATTGGAAATATCCTTTAGGTCATTTCTAATTACAAAAGAATTTCCATTCAAATCCTTCCTCGCTTCAAATTTCTTAAGTCTGTGCAATGATGCTACCTTTGAAAAGCATAACTGACACTCTCTCCCCCCAAGTCCTGCCTTCCAACTAAGAAGACATTTAGTCCACTTACGAAAGAGGTTAGGATCTGTCTTTATGGTTAATGTGAACCCATTTCCTGGTTCATGGACCCGGAAGAAGATCATGGCCACGTTCTGGGAGGATCTGATGCTCCTTCTGCTAAGACCACTCTCACAGAAATCTATGTACCGCTCAGTCATGGGGAGAGGATGATCCTCGGAACTGGGGAACTTCTCCCCCTTGAGAATCCAACCATCAAATACCTTCCAACAAAAAATACAGACAAAGATGATCACTTTCATCAACTCCTGAAGTCACAAGTGTGTTGAAAAGGGGGAAAAGGTTATCCAGCCACGGGCCTTCGGTCATCAGTGAGGAATAGACAGCCCACACCCCCCGCACCCCCCTTCTATTTGTATATATTTTGACTGTGAGGGTTGTTTGCAAGTTGCATTATTATTTAATTATTGCTTTTTCCCCTTTATAAACTCTAACATTTCCAAAGTAAATAAACTTTCTTATACTTTATCATTTCAGCCACCTTGGTAAATGAAACTACAGACGATATACATTTTTGTGTTGGTCATATTTTCCACACATCCTACCTTCAGAAGAATTCCACAGGAACATAATTTGGGTTTCAGTTTTTCTCTTTCCTCATTAAAATATGAACAAAATTTCTCAAAAATAGCAAGAGGAAAAACTGGAGCAGCAACTTTACCTACCTGCCGATGGTTATACACACCCATTTTCCTCATTTTTTTACTCTTATCACATATTAAAATATCAAGAACTACTTTAACACTTAGATGATAATGGCTGGTATGCAAGTTCGGAATTTTTTCCTTCACTTGTTGAAGTTTGTAGTTGGCTGGACAAAAGGTCAGAGTCTATTGACTTTACTCTTAAAATCACCACAGGTCTCCAATTTAATGAGTCCAACCTAGTTCACGTTAGTAAAATTACCAGCTACAAATTATTTCACCAGATCAGTCCTCTTCTATGACGTTTGACAGGTTCCAAAATAATTCCACTTTGGGATTTTAATCATATTCATTTTAACTGTACTGGAGAAGTCCAGCATCCATCCCAAGCTGACCCGTTAGACTCATGGAGAACTGGGAGTGGGGACTTTTCCGCGCCTCCCACCTGCCTCAGACTAGATTCCTTCTCAGCAACCTTCCCTGCAGCCAGTGCCCTTCTGCTCCAAAATCAGGTCACCCAGGCATTGAAGACAGCGTCTGGGAGCCTGAAACAGCTCCACAGAGAAAGGGACCAGCAGGAGCAAGGCGGGCTCAGATCTCAGACATGTGAGGTCGCCTTCTAATCAGGACCTCGGGTTCGGCGGACCCGAGGGCTCGTACTAGTTGGTTTGTACCCCTTTTCACCTGCTCCCCATTGCAACACAGTGGTTCGCGCCACGAGTTCTAGTCTTTGGAAGCGCCCGGGACCGACAGCGCACAGGGATGAATTTAAACCACTGCAAGACCAAGGCACTCGCCCTTCTGGGAGTGGGGCGAGGTACACGCTGCGCGGGGGTCCCGGACTGCGCCTCTCCCACTCCTGCACCACCGGAGCATCTAATTACGAGCGTCGCCGGCTCTCCACGCTAGGGCGCAGCGTCCTGGCCATGACCCCTCCCTTGCCCCGCGGCTGGGGCTGCGCCTGGCGGGGGCGCCTCACCTTCAGGAAGTCCCCGCTCTCACAGTCGATGGAGACCAGTTCGTAGTGGATGGTGATAAACTCCTCGGGCTCTGCGATGAAGAAGGCGGCGCAGTGCAGCTGAGGCCGGTCGGCGGTGAAGGTGAACTGGCCCTGGAGGCTCAGCATGTCCAGGCACCCTGGGGGGCGGGGTGGGGGGAGGGCAGCGGGATTGGGGGTCCCGGGTTGCAGCCACTGCGGCGGCACCCGGGCAGCCCCTCTCCGCTCGCGCCCTGACTCCCAGCTTCGGCTGCGCCCCGCTCCCGCGCTCCGGGTGCGTCACCCCATCTCGCCCCAGTGCGACTCCTCGGACTGACCCTTAGCCATGGGAATTGCGCCCCCCGCGGTCCTCAACAATCCCCACCTCCCCGCTGCCCGCGGACGGACGCCAGCCAGGCAGCCCCGACTCACGCATAGCGCGGCGGTACAGCTGCTCCCCCGGCAGCTCCCGCTTCAGGTTGGCGCTGAAGAGTAGGAAAGGGTCGTAGTCCACAGCTTCCCGCAGCTGGCCAGGAAAATCAGTCAGTCCGCAAAAGTTCAAGGAGGGGGAAGGGGGACCAGAAGCAAGGCACCCTCCCTGCCCCGCGGCAAAGAGAATAAAGTGACCGGGTCAATGTCTCCCGGGTCCGGAGAAGACGGGAAGGTTTAGACCTTTCCCATCAGACCAGGGTATGCCCAGGGACCAGAGGGAAGGGGGAAGAGGCAGGGAGGAAGACCCAGGGGAAATCAGAGGAGAGAGGGGGCACAGTAAATGCGGAAGAAAGAGCTAACCAAAACATGTCTGAGAGCAGAGGCAGCCTGCCCACCCCCAAGGCTGGACACTCACCACAGGAAGGTGTGATGGGTCAACCGGGTAATCGCTCACCTCCAGGTACCGGCTCTCCCCTCTTAGAGCCATCAGGCAGATCAGAATGAAGTGACACTGAAGTTTGAAAGTGGGAGCCATGCCGGCCTTGCCTCTGCAGCTGGTGCTTTCTGCTCCGCAGGTCTGGGCTTTGCTTCCCACGCGCTGAGAGCTAGAAGCTGGTAGGGTCCCTTTGCGGGTCTCTTTTATAGAGCAGTGAGGAGGGGAGGCTCTCTGCCCCTTAACTGATCTGAGCTCAGTAACCATGGGTTACTCTGTCTCAGTGACAAAGTGCTTGGTGATGACGAGGGTCCAGCTCTCAGCTGCAAACTTTCCGAATGGTCCAGCGTTATTCACCGAGAATGATTTCAGACACTTACAACTTAGTGAATTAAAGTGTGAGAGAAAGAATGAAGCAAGGATAGAGAATAAGGGATGGCATTTTACTTGGTCGGCCACATGCTGAATTATCCTCTCCCATGGACATACAGGGAATTTTTGGTTTTGCAAAGCCAAGTGACAGTGTTACCCACAGGCATAAAATACCCAAACACACACAACCTTATCATACAGACTTGTCACATAACCTTAAATGGAGCCATGTTGGAAATTGTCAGAGAATATAGTATTCATGCAATTGCTCATGCCTCTCAGGAAGAAACTTGAGGCATTTTCAGCTCCAAAGAGAAGCTGATTTCGCAGACTATTGCAATCATGTAATTCAAGCTTTCTTTCTGTCCCTTGGTCTTTGCTTTATCCTGGTCCAGTTTCTTGTAAGCTTTTCCTTAATAGAAAGCTAACTGTGGAGTCCACGGACTCCTGGATTTCAGCCGAGCTCTGTCACATAGCCTGAATGTATATAGGATGGACACACTCCTGGGCCAGCTAACCGTGGCCATGACCTTAACATCCATCTGAACCACTGAAAGATGGAGTCATTCCATTTCACGCCTTCGAATACCTGCATTACTTTCATACTCTGGTAGAAGGACCTGCTGAGAAGCTTTATTAAAACGGCTCATCATCAAATTTCCAGGGCTAAACAAATGACTTAGAGATGCAGGAATAAGTTAACCTTATCTTTGCTGATTAGATGAGAAGAGAATTGCTTCTCCTTTATGTCCAACATTGTGGGAAATATGAAGATCTCCACCTTCAGTTTTCCCACCCCTCTCCAATCTCTGTGCTGAGCAAGGCCACTACACATCCTAAAAAAAATCATGTTTTTACTTCTGCCTGACAGAAAACATGGTTACTACCCATAGCTTTCTTTACTATTAAAATTATTCCAGGGCTTCCCTGGTGGCGCAGTGGTTGAGAGTCCGCCTGCCGATGCAGGGGACACAGGTTCGTGCCCCGGTCCGGGAAGATCCCACATGCCACGGAGCGGCTGGGCCCGTGAGCCACGGCTGCTGAGCCTGCACGTCTGGAGCCTGTGCTCCGCAACGGGAGAGGCCACAGCAGTGAGAGGCCCGCGTGCCGCCAAAAAAAAAAAAAAAATTAATCCAAATAATAAGACCATCATATAGGGTTTTGACTCAAGGAAATAGTTCTATATTTAGTTTATAAATACTCAGAATGAAGCAGCCATTTGTCTAGTGGTGTCAGAACTTGATATTTTCATATTTAAGACAATTCTGAGCTCTGAAGGAGCTGCCTCTTAATTGTTTAACCTGGAGGCCTTCCTACCATAGTCCAACTTTGTAAACAGTCCTCAGACCACAGACAGCATGAGAGGAGAGGGCACCCAAATGTCATAAACACTGGCCACTATGTCCTTCTCCCCACCCTGGGACTCTTTGGATGTCTGAATCTTAGAGAGGGTATAAAGAAACCTGAGAGGAATAAAAAAAATAGAAAAAAAAATGGCTTAACCTCAACTGCACACATGCCTGGCCTGTCTCCAGAAAGAGCTGGGGAAACACGATGACAGAGGGGTAACATCCTGTTTTACGAAACAATCCACAAACTATGGTAGAAAAAGAATTTCATTCCTACCAAATCCTAGGTGGGGATATTCATGTGTTATTTTCACCAGTTTGGCAAATATCTACTAAGTCAGTGGAAACCGTGTTTTGTTTTGTTTTGTTTTGTTTAAATAAGAGTAACTAAAGGATGAAAATTAGAACCTATAGGGGAATAACAAGAAGATGGAGTTGGAGGACAAAGAGAAGAAGGTAGCCATTCTCTGTGAGCCGAAGTATTAAAAATGGGTGAGAGCGGGCTTCCCTGGTGGCGCAGTGGTTGAGAGCCCGCCTGACGATGCAGGGGACACAGGTTCGTGCCCCGGTCTGGGAAGATCCCACATGCCACGGAGCGGCTGGGCCCGTGAGCCATGGCCACTGAGCCTGCGCGTCCGGAGCCTGTGCTCTGCAATGGGAGAGGCCACAACAGTGAGAGGCCCGCGTACCGAGGGAAAAAAAAAAAAAATGGATGAGAGCAATGGAAGAGCCATTTGGATTAGACAGAAGAAAAAGTTTCTGGACAGTAACTAGGTCTATGTCTGAAGAAAAATTATTTTCATGGACCAATTTAGTCATTGAAACAATTAGCTTAATATTTGTTTAACCAAATTGATTATTTTGAAATATGTTCTGAGTTAACTCAGAGTCCCCAAGCATGCTGGTTGGAAATTATTCATATGTTCACCTCCATTCTCTGCACACATTTTAGTTTTTCTCCATGTTTTTCTAGACAGCCTCTCCCATGCTGATGTTAATACAATCCCTGATCAGTATATTTTAGGTCTTAAATTATTGTTAGGAAGGGTTAAGACATCCTTTTCATTAGGTAAGACATTTTTCATTTCACAAAGCGCCAGAGCAAATTGTCACTGTGTTAAGCCTGAAGGTCAAGGTGGCCACATGATACAGAGCCATATTCAATCCATGAACATGGCAGGGGTGGGATTTTAAAATTTTGCTGAGACTGAAGAGGTGCACATAGCCAACTTCTAAGCAGCAGAAAAAGGGACTTTGTTGTCACCCACAGGGCCTATGACGTGATTATGAGAGCCAAGTGCAAGTTTGTGGAGGCTGCCAAGGCTTACACACTGCGGTGTCTGAAGCAGAAAGGGGACAATGTAATCCCAAATCTCTTTCTACTCTAGGGCCTGTCTTAAGATTCCCTTAAGTATTCCCTACATATAATAGTACACTTTTTCTTTTGTTAATCACTTGAACAGAGAACATTAGCAATACCTGCTCTAGAAGATCTTCCTTTTCCCTTTCCCGAGTGGTATGTTGAAATGTTGGAAATGGGACATATGATTGAGTTCTTTAAGAAATAAAGATGACTGAATATAGCCCATTGTAATTAACCACCACCAACAAAAACTAGTTTTCAGTAAACGGTCACATGACCCACCACAATGGCACTAAAAAAACTAAAAAAAAAAACCAACTAGTTTTCCATTTCTTTCAAGATGACTTGCTGTTTGAATGAATTTGACTATTTTTTTTAACGTAGCTATTATTTTTTTTTGGTTGATTTAAAGTTTTAATTTCCTTCTTCTGTGGGGGAGAGTCATCATTTGGATTAATTTAGATAACCCACAGTATCTGGTAAAAGAGGGAGTTAGCCTACGAGAGAAATTCTTACCGACCTTTTTCTTTGCAGCGCTGCTGATTTATTTCAGGATGTCCTGCCAAATTTTCTTCAGTCCGAAATGAGGTTAATAACACCTGCAGAAAGGCTCCCTAAGCTCAATAGAATTTTGTGGTAACGTGAAATCCTAACACTGGAAATCAGACTAATAAAATATCTTGACTCCCAACTGTCCATGGAACAAATGGTTACTCACAAGCTCCCTGGGTAACTAGTGAAGGACAGCATCAATACAACTCATCTTTCTAGATGTTCACAACCTTAAGGACTTTTCTTTCAGGAAAATATTCCTGAAGATGATTTCTGTAGTATGCCCTAATCAGGTATGCCTCCCAAAACCCTTTTTATTTTTATTTATTTTTTTAACATATTTATTGGAGTATAATTGCTTTACAATGGTGTGTTAGTTTCTGCTGTGTAACAAAGTGAATCAGTTATACATATACATATATCCCCATATCTCCTCCCTCTTGCGACTCCCTCCCTCCCACCCTCCCTATCCCATCCCTCTAGGTGGTCACAAAGCACCGAGCTGATCTCCCTGTGCTATGCAGCTGCTTCCTACTAGCTAGCTATTTTACGTTTGGTAGTGTGTATATGTCCATGCCACTCTCTCACTTCGTCCCAGCTTACCCTTCCCCCTCCCAGTGTCCTTAAGTCCATTCTCTTAACGTAGTTATTTTTAATACATAAGTTTCTTTTTCTGATGTGTTTGAGATCAGGAAGGAAGGAACTAAACTAGTTCCTTGGGGGGTCTAGTATAACTTGGCCTTTGAATGAAACTCTCACATGTCAGTGACTTTCAACTCAAATCCATTATCTCCCTTTGATGTGGTTAAGACGACCAGCAGTCAATAGAGGTTAGGACTTTTGGGGGTTGCACGTGACTGATAGCGAACTGGAACTGAAGGGGAAGTTATTATCAGGATGGCTTGCAGAATGCTTGAGCAGAAAACAGGAGTCAGGAGCTACTTCCCAGTCTCTCTGTCTCAGGCTGCCTTCTCCCAACATCTGTAGCTTTTGTGGTGGTAAACCAGCCACCAGTAATGCCTTAGCTTTACAAGTTACCCTTAGACAAATAAAAATACTCTGATCCAATGTACTCATAATCCCCAGTCCACAAACTTAGTGGGAAAAGGCTCCGAGGCCAGAGGATAGGATCCAGTCATTCCATGACTGTTCTCATGACAGCCATATGAATGGGGAAGGGAGAAGCGGTTTCCAGAAAAAAAAGGAATGCTGGATTCACAAAATAATAGGTGTCTTCAAAATAGAGAAACAAAATAAAAACAAAAACCCTGGTTCAATGACTTCTTTGATCATAAGTTTTCTCACCTGTAAAATGGTGATCTACACTGGGAATTATTATAGGCATACCTCATTTAATTGCACTTCACTTTATTACACTTCACAGATATTGCATTTTTTTACAAATCAAAGGTTTGTGGCAACCCTGCATCGTCAGACAATTATTAGCCTTTTTCAGCAAGAAAGTTTTTTGTTTTTTGTTTTTTATTGGCTGTGTTGGGTCTTTGTTGCTGTACACGGACTTTCTCTAGTTGCAAGAGTGGGGCCTACTCTTCATTGTGGTGCGCGGGCTTCTCATTGCGG